TCAAGATTTGCTTTACATATTCATGTGCTCCTATGTTTAGTACATAAATGTTTCCAAGGGTCATATCCTCTTGTTGGATTGATCCATTTATCATTATGTAGTGTCCTTCTTTGTCTCTTACTATAGCCTTGGTTTTAGTCTATTCTGTCAAATAAGTATTGCTACCCCAGCTGTTATTTCCTTTCCATTTGCACAAAACGTATTTTCCCATCTCTTTAGTCTGTGTGTATCTTTTGTTCTGAAGTGGGTCTCTTGAAGACAGCATATACATGGGTCTTGTTTTCTTATCCAATCAGCTACCTTATTGCATTTAAAGTGATTGCTGATAGCTACATATTTATTGCCATTTTATTTTTTCAACTATTTTTTTCTTTTTCTTATTCTTCCTCCTTTTCTTAAAGCAACAAATGGTGGTAACAAATTCCTTTAGTTTTTTCTTGTCTGGGAAGCTCTTTATTTCTTCTTCAATTTTTGTTTTGTTTTGCTTTGTTTTGTTAATTCTCACTAGAGGATATTTTTTCTATTGATTTTTAGAGAGAGTAGAAGGGAGAGAGGGAGGTAAGAGAAAGAGAGAGAGAAACATCAATGTGAGAGAGACACATCGTTGGTTACCTCCTGCACGCGTCCTTACAGGGGCGGGGATTGAGCCTACAACCAAGGTATGTGAGCTTGGCCAGAATGGAACCCGTGACCCTTCCGTCCACAGGCTGACACTCTACCATTCAGCCAAACTGGCTAGGGCATGACTGGTCCTTTTTAATGGTTTCTGTATCATTTTTTACACTGTTAAGAATCCTTATAATTATTACTCTGAACTCTGTATCTGATAAATTGCTTACCTCTACTTCATTTAGCTCTTTTTCGGGAGAATTCTTGTGTTCCTTCATTGCCTGATTCTCTGATTTCCCCATTTTGGCTGCTTGTTTGAGTTTGTTTCAATGTATTAAGTATATCTTCTATATTCCCAGTCTTGGTAAGGGAAACTTATGTCGTAGGTGACCTGTGGGACCTAGTGATACCCATCTTCCTGATTACCAGAACTCGGTGCTCTACGAATGTCCCTTGTTTGATTTGTGTGGGCCGTCCTGTTGTAATTGAGTCTTGACTGCTATTGACCCGTTTGTGGATAGACTGAACCCTCAGGCTGGCAGACAGTGAGGCTCAACCCCCAACACAGCATGCAGGCTGCTCTGCAGGTGCTGATCACACAAAGTGGACTCTGCCCCAGCAGGGTTTGATGCCGGCCACTATCTCCTGTGGATATGCTGCTTGTGAAGATCCCGTCCTGTTGTAATTGAGTCTTGACTGCTATTGACCCGTTTGTGGATAGACTGAACCCTCAGGCTGGCAGACAGTGAGGCTCAACCCCCAACACAGCATGCAGGCTGCTCTGCAGGTGCTGATCACACAAAGTGGACTCTGCCCCAGCAGGGTTTGGTGCCGGCCACTATCTCCTGTGGTTACGCTGCTTGTGAAGATCATTGGATCCTGCTCGGTTGTTGTCTGAAGCTGGCCACTGGGTGTATTGGTTCTGGGTCTCTTCAGAGGGACTCTGGTGCAGCCCATGTCACATGCTGCCTGTGACTGGCCTTGACCAACCTATATGGAGCTATCAGTGATCCACAGCTTGTGGCTCCCCCTACCAGGCCTGGGTGCATGCATTAAGGTCTGCTTTTACTCAAGTATGCAAATTTAAATTAAAGTTGTTTTGTAAAGTACATTGTAGACTTTCTTCCATTTGGAAAGTACTTATTTTGATATCAAATAGATAGTTGGACTAGATTACCTTTGAAGTTCCTCCCAACTCTGAAATGACTGCGTCTATATTTCAGTAGTCAGGTCAATATTACTAAAAGAACTGCATTGCATGAATTCACAGAAACCAAACGGCTTCCTGCCTAACATTAGTCTCTTTCCCCATCGCTACAGAGCCTAAAGTCACTCATTCCCCTCTATTAGAGTAAGTTCTTAAAAGTGCTCTTAAGGCTTATAAATTTTATTTGGATTTGGGTATTATATGACAAAGGAGGGATAATCAATTTACTTATTAATTTACCTAATTACTATCAATTATCATACTGAAAATAACACACACACACACACACACACACACACACACACACACAAGTTTTGGGGTGGATAGTTGGGGAGCAATTATGATGTCATTATGTGCCAAACTAGTTCATCACCTTTATAAAAGCAGCTTCCCAGCCAACTGACTCTGCCTCTCTCTTCCTGCTCAGACAAGGCTACTTCTCCCAGATTATGTCCCCAGCATCTAGTGAGGCCTTTGCAATTCCTGTCTCTTGGGTCTACTTCTAGCTTCCCACTGTATACTTTGGACTTGATATTTTTATATTGTCCTTTCTAAAGCCTAGAGATCTTTTTCATACATCTACTATCTTGAGTCAGCTCATTCTAACCTTCCCTAGATTCCCATACTCCCACTTTTTGAGAGCCCTGGAACTCTGGCTTGACTTGGAGGAAAGTCAGCTTCTAGAGTCAAGTAAGGTAGAGTTATAGAGGGAGAAAAAAAAGAGAGGACAAAGTAAGCAGTCACGTAATGAAAAGGAGGAATGATAAAGCATTAAGACAAAGGTGGTTTAATTTATAACTTTTTCCTAGCAACCATCAGTCACAGCAACACTAATTGTCATAAAAAATAAAAGGAGGAATGATAAAGCATTAAGACAAAGGTGGTTAAATTTATAACTTTTTCCTAGCAACCATCACTCACAGCAACAGTATGGTATAAAATTGTCATAAAAAAATTAAAGCTGATGAAAGAAATAGAATTTTATACATAACTAAAGCAAAAAATATCCTAAGGGTCACTTGTTATCAATATGAAAAATCTCAAGCAAAAGCGGTAGTTTTCCTTTTGAACTGTACAAATCCACTGGTTCAAATATCCCTGTGACCTTTAGAATTAGTCAGTATATGTTATAGATTTTTGCTCATTTACTTTATTACTTGCAACTCATTGTTATAAAACTGCCAACCACAGAAACTTTCCCATCGAAACTATGTATTTTCAAACTCTGGAGGCCAATGTTGTCATCAAGCCAACCAACCAGAAGTGAGGACATTTATATACTCTATTATCAATTCTAGAGTCATCAATATCCTTGAAGCAGCATCCCGTTATCATATACCAACCCTCTCTGATTACACTCTGTTATTGTCAGAAACCCTCTCCATGTAGAAAGAGAGAAAGTGCCTCTTTGCATCGGGTTTATTACATTACACTCTCCCTGTGTAACCACAACAATATTGTGTGGATCAATAGAAACAGCAAAGAACTAGCCTTCTATTTCCTTACTCCATCAATATTTAAAATCAGGACTCCCAGTGGTGGACAAAGAGGAGCATGTAACCTGACCTAATTTTTCTCAAGGATTGCTCAGAAAAATAAATAGGCCTTCATAAACTAAATCAGTAATTCAAATAAATAATGAGTAAAAGAGTTTCCATCTGGGCAATTTTGTATACGAATATGTTTTGTAAATAATTAAACACACTATCTCAGGGAAATCATTGCAATTATAACATGAGGATTTGTTCTAAAGGGAGACAGCAGCAGCAGCAGCTTGCTGAGCAAATCCAATGTTTGAACAATCTGGCTTCAAAAAAGAGAATCCCATCTCACACCTAATTTTCTCATTGCTAATAAGTGGGGTAGGAGGACATTCATTAATTTATCAAAACATCATAATTTTAAAGTGCATTAAGTAAATCCAGATTTGGGGGAAGTTAGAAGAAGCCAGATGGAATATGATGTATAATAACCTTCCTATATTATTCCAAAGCTAATTCAGCCCACAAAAAAAATTAACATCATCCTATTGTTACTATCCCATCTGAAGGCACTTCATTAGCAAATCAACAATACCCACTGAGTGTGTATAGTAGGCTGAACTTGTGTAGAAACTATAGGCTTTATTTGCAGGTAAGAGGTAAAAGGAAGACAGTTTTGAACCACGAAATTCACATAAGAGTGGAGCACTCATTTTAGTAATTATAATTAGAAAGGAAAGTGCCTTTTTCCCTTCCTTTACTCCCTTCCTCAGTCTTTCCCTCCCTTACTCCTTCCTTCCATCCACAAATATTGAGTAGCTGCATGTCCCAAATGAGTTCTATAGTCGAATGCTTACATTATTCTAGGGAAATCAGATGTAAAAGACTAGTACATAAATTAGTTCATTTAAAATAGTAGTGTTATAAAGAAAATAAAATTAGAAAATCACATAGTTATAGAGTAGGCATGGATAATTAAATAAAATTGGAAAATAAGGTAGTGATGGAGAAGGTATACACACCAGTAAATAGAATGGTCAGAGAAGGTCATTCTGAATGTTGACATTTTAGTCAAAGCTTGAATAATAAGAATGTGAATATCATAGAGAAAAGCATTGCAGACAGGTAAAACAGCAAGAGGAAAAATGTCAAAACAAGAGTAATATGGTTGAAGAAGGGCCAGAAAACCAGTATGACTGTTGTGTGACGAAAGGAGAGTAGTGGGAGGTGAGATTGGAAAGGTAAATGGTACCAGTCCGTTAGGCTCTTACAGGACCTGTGAGCTGTTTGAATTGTATTCTCAATGTGAGTGAAAGTTATTGGGAGATTTTTAAGCAAAAGAGTGACATGATCTGGTTTACATTTTAGATCACTTGAACTGTTATATGGAACATGAATCTTGGAGGGGAAACTGAAACAAATTAGGAGCCTATTGCTACTCCAGGAGAGAGCTGGGTAATGCAATCAATCAATCCATTCCTTTTAAACAGACTTTTGCTAATTAGAAACCTACTGCAATGGAAAGCGTTATATAATGATCAGTACAAGTACAGAACTACTCTGGATTTCTAAGTATGGATCTACAAATTAAAATAAAGCAAAAATCTCTTTTCTCAGTGTCCATATTGCTCTACTACATTTGTAAGGAAAAAGGACTGCAAAAAGGAAATAAATTTGGAAGAACAAAAATGATGATAACTTACCATTTTTGGCTTTGCAAGATCTGTTGTCTGGCTGCATTATGTAGCCTTCCACACAACCGCAAGCATAGGATCCATACGTGTTTACGCAGGTCTGGCTGCATGCACCATAAATGGCACATTCATCTTGATCTAAAAGGAAAATTGGCATCATTTCTAAGTAGATTTATAGTTGGGCATTTTGTTTTTTCTTGAAGGAAACTTTTTAAAAATATAGTTTGGAAATAGACTATTGCTCTAAAAAGGAAGGGCCACCCTAGCTGGTTTGGCTCAGTGGATAGAGTATTGGCCTGAGGACAGAAGGGGCCTGGGTTCGATTCCAGTCAAGGGCATGTACCTCAGTTGCAGGCTCTTGGCCCTGGTCTGGGGCATTGCGGGAGGCAAGCAATCCATGTGTCTCTCTCACACCAGTGTTTTTCTGTCTCTCCCTCTCCATTCCACTCTCTCTAAAAATTAATAAAAAAATATCCTCAGGTGAGGATAAAAAAAAGGGCCAACTTCAATAAGTCTTTTCAAAACTACACTAACTGAAATAGTAATAAATAAAATAAATAAAATTTAAAAATCAGCTAATTCATTGTTGTTTAATAGTTACAGAAATATAAGATCAAACTTAATGCAACATCTTTTATTTTTTTATTAAATAAAACCTTTATTGTTGAAAGTATTACATATGGCCCCCTTTTCCCCCCTATTGACCCTTCTAGCCTGCCCCCATGCCCCCCAGGCCTTCACTACCCTATTGTCTATGTCCATGGGTTATGCATATATGCATATATGCATATAAGGTCTTTGGTTGATCTCTTCCTACCAATCCACATCTTTTATTTTAAAAGAGGTTTTATTTACATTTTTGATGGGCAGGCTAGATGTCCTTGGATAGTTCTACAAAGGTATGAAATGCACTCCAATGAATATTTGTTGAATAGTTCTACTGTTTATGACACTGACTTTTTCAGTATTTTAACAATTAGTCTAATAACATAACATGGTTTTCAATAAACATATTAAATAAGAGTTCTGAGCCAAGCTATGCAAACTACCCTAAGGAAAAAAACAAAACAAAACAAAAAATCAAAAAAACAAACCATTAAGCACTTGTTAAAATGAAAAATATTATCTTAATTAAATGTTATTTTAGTATGTATGATCCTCATTCTACTCCCTCTCTCCTTTTTCTCCCTGTACTTCCCTCCTGCAGCAACTTGTACAAATCTCTATAAACAGCAGGTATTTAATGATTCTTAACCAAGCAGGCAAAAACACAAATTCTGTCAGTCAATAATTTAGACTAATATGTGTCTTTATTCTGTTCTGTGTACCATGAACTATACTAATCCCAAAAAAATCCAAATTGATAAAACATGATTCCTACCCTTAAGTGAAATGAGTATAGTGAAATATAATTTTGATTTTATGGATTTCCTTACAATAGAGAGAGAGTCATACTCTAGTTATGATATAGACATAGAGAAGTAAATGAAATTGCTTGGAGTTAGAGAGAGAATGTTAAGTGAAGGCTGTATAGTGAGCTGAGTTAAAGAATAATTTGAATTTTCTCAAACTGAATAAAAAGGGATGAGATGGAATGGGGCATCCCAGTTTAACAAAATAGCATGTGAAAAGGCATCGCGATGACATAGTGGGGATTTTAAAGACCTGTAAAGAGTTGAGTGGAGTAAGTGTGTATAAGGGAAGTGGTAAGAGATAGCATGGCGAAAGTAGTTTTAAGGCCAGCTAATGAAGTTATTGTATGCTAAACTAAAAGGCTGTGCATTATACCTAGACTTTGGGAAGCATTAATTAGATAAGCTATATGATCAACTTTATATTTTAAAACTAAACCAAAAAAATGGCTTGGTGAAAGTAGTGAAGAGGTCCTTGAAATTTAGTTATGTACTAATTTCACTCCAGAAACTTTATTTTGAAGTCATTATATTTTGAATTAAGTCAGTGGCAATAAAAATGAAAAAAAAAGCACATTAACTCAAATGTTTAAAAAACAGAATAGGCAACATGTGAAGACTAATTGGATATGATGAAATTGAATGGTGGTCCAATTTGATATGAAGTATAGGTTTCAGTGGAGATATCATGGAAGGAAACAGTGAATATGGTTTGGATGTGTTATATTTGAGGAGTCTGTAGGGAATTCTGGAGTAAATGACTAACAAGTAGTTGGAAATATGAAACTGGCAAGATTAGTGAGATCTGTCTTGGAGTATTTGGGAGTCAATAGCATATGGATAATAGAATGAAAAACAAACAAAACAAAAAACAAATAGCAGAGGGTTAGATAATCACACATATAAAAAAGAAAGAAGTGAGAAATCTTGGCAGGTGCACAATACTGCAGGACACCAATATTAAAAAGGCAGGAGCCTCCTCTGAAGGAGACTTCATGAGAAATGTAAGGAGTTAGGGAAGGTGACATAGTGAAATACTCAGTGAAGAACCCAGTAATATAGATTTTGAAACTGTCATTAGGTTTCGGAAGTTAGGACGTGGTGCAGTTACCTTGGCGCAGTGAAAAGGGGATGCTGCCTTAAATGGCTGGTAGGTCTTACGATATTAACTGGAATGTGCTTTTGTTTTATTGTTTTATTGAATCCCTAAAGGGAATTGAATATACAAACTTTGGCCTATGTTTTAATATGTTTCTTCATTGGAACTTGGAAATACTGAATTTGAAGAGAAGTTGGGACTCTTGGAAACCATTTTGGAGGAAGGGCATGAGGAAAAGACACAGAAGAAAAAAGAAGATGAGAAGCAAACAAAATGGCTAATGAGGTTGTGGTGTGAATTGGATTAAACTGCTATGGTATAATAAAATATATTATTTGTTCTTTGTCTTCAGTTCTTCAAACCCTTGTATTTTCTGAGTAATAGGAGTGTTCTTTGTTATTTATAACTAGTGCCCCAGTGCACAGATTTGTGCACATTGAAAGGAAATTAATTAGAAGATGGCCGGTGGGGCTGGACTAGATGGACCGGACACACCCTGGAGCCAATCTCCTGTGGTCCCTCCCCTGCCGGCCACACCTGGGACGGCAACGCGGCTTGAAGGACATCTGCGGAGTGAGTGGTTGGGAGGATCCCTTGGCCTGGCCTGTGGGGATTGGGCCAAAACCAGCTCTCCGACATCCCCCAAGGGGTCCTGGATTGCGAGAGGGCGGTTCCCGGGTGACACACCCCGGAATCAGACTCCCTCCTCTGTCGTTCTGGGTGCCGTCACCCAAGAACCGCAGCTACCAAGTCATCACAGCTTGGCAGCTCCTGTGTTGAGTGTCTGCCCCCTGGTAGTCAGTGCACATCATAGCTAGTGGTCAGATAGTTGGTCGCTTAGCCTTTTATATATATAGATGAGGCCCTTTGGAATACACCAGAGTCCATGTGAGTGAGGTCACTTAGATAATGTCAGGATGGGGGCTAGTCACTACTAGATAATGTCAGGATGGGGGCTAGTCACCACAAAGACCAAACAGAACTCTCAGCCCCACCCTCTGATCACCCAAAGCTAAGAAAGGTATTTAGTAAAGGAAAGCAAAAAGATTATTGAGAAGCTAAGGGACCATTTTAATTAGAAAACTATGCATTTGTAAGACATTCATTTGCACTTTTCTCAGGTTTCTTTAGCTTTGTATATTAACTAGCCTGTATTCATGGATCGCTTGTTTGAAGTAAGTAGCTTTGGGATAGAAAGAATAGTCTTTGAAGCTGAATCTACAATGATAATAAAAGAAATGAAATCTTATATTTGGTAAAGTCCAGTCCACAGTGGCAAAAATGATTCTTATCTATTTTCACAGATGGTTCAACGTTAATGTTATTGGCTTTTATTTTAGTTTTTCTGATATCATTATGTTGTCCCGGAGAGCAATATGATTAATGATTTCTTTTGTTCTTTCTCCTTAGCCAGAATGCACTGCTGTGACATTGATATAACTCCCCCAAAATTGACCACAAAGAAGTAGGCATGTCATTACTTTTAATTCTGCCTACTTTCTTACTTTAAGGACAGAATATATTCTGGAAATATGGCTTCTGGAAAGTGTAAATGATGTTCAAACCTGGCCATTCAGGAGTGCAGAGAAAGAAAGAAGAGCTCTTCTTCCACTGGGGACCTTCCATAGTGATTGCTGCATAATTTCTTATTTATGTTCAACAGAGGAAATTGATTGAATTTATCTTTATGCATTTAATGAGGAGATTCAGGAGAAGAGAGTCATCCAAAATGAGATTAAAACCCTGATTCTTATAGGAGTCAGGTGTAGCCAAAGAATAAGAAGTTTGCAGTAGAGATATATTAGCCTACCCTGCTGGTTTACACTAAAAATTGTAGCCTAGCCAGCATGGCTCAGTGCTTGAGTGTTGACCTATGAACCAGGAAGTCACAGTTCAAGTCCCAGTCACGGCATATGCCCAGGTGGTGGGTTTGATCCCCAGTGTGGAGCATGCAGGAGGCAGCCAATCCATGATTCTCTCTCAACATTGATGTTTCTATCTCTCCCTTTCCCTTCCTCTCTGAAATTAATAAAAATATATTTTAAAAAAGAAACTAAAAATTATTTGTATGTCTAGAGCAGGGGTGGGCAAACTTTTTGACTCGAGGGCCACAATGGGTTCTTAAACTGGACCGGAGGGCCGGAACAAAAGCATGGATGGAGTGTTTGTGTGAACTAATATAAATTCAAAGTAAACATCATTACATAAAAGGGTACGGTCTTTTTTTTTTTTAGTTTTATTCATTTCAAATGGGCCGGATCTGGCCCGCGGGCCATAGTTTGCCCACGGCTGGTCTAGAGGTACTATTCTCATTTTGTTGACTTTCATGATGATATGGGGTCTAGTCTGGCAATTCTTCTGATTTGTTTTTTCCTCAAAGTCTGACCGTTTGTGTGCAATCTTCTAATTTTTAAGTGTTGACTTAAAAATAATGTCAGTTAAATAAATATGTTGGTTTGGTCCTGCTGTAGGCAGTTAGACAGACATGAGCAGAGCAAGGATGATGGGGCAGGTCACTAGTGTGGAAAGCCCCAAGTAACTAGCAATGTACAATCAATTGTGGGGCACAGCCTCGATCCCAAGGTGACTTTTCCTCCCCTAGCATATCGCTGGTCATGCGGTTTGGACCCCCTGACTTTTATTCCCTGGAGATAACATCTATGCCTTAGTTGTATTTTAGCTCCAGGCCCAGATAAGCAACAAAACCAACCATGACTGACATCAGTGAAAGGGATTTCAGAAACAAAACAGGCAAGTTCAAGTTCTGGAAATGCATAGATTGGGGCTTGAATTCACCAAAATGCTTATTTTACTTGTACAGAAGATAGAGACATGCCACAGGAAGGGGGTGGGGGGTGTTCCAGCAGATGGAAACATTTCTGGCCTGAGTAATTAAAGCATCCATAAACCAAAGACAGAGATATCTCAGGCCTGAGCAGCTAAGAGATCAAAGGCAATTCCAACCAACAAAATAAGAGGGAGGGAAAATGGGAGGGGGGGGGCACCATGTAGGATTTAGACTTTGAAACTAACACTATGTAGCAGAAATGACCAATGAGGAAGGCATGGGGGTCCTAAATTAATAAAGGATCCAATTAGAAAGGGTCAGGCTCAGACAAAGATCTGCAGCCTTTATAAATCAAGAGACAGAGACTCAGCAGATTTTTAGATTTTTTTGGATTTAGATTTTTCCCATTAGAGAGAGAGAGCAGGCTTTTTGCATTTGGGGATTCCTCCCCAGGGGGTACCCTTGGAGTTTGTATATGCTTCTAATAAACTTCTACATTTTTATTAAAGAAATCTGTTAGTCCACAAATTTATTATTCAACTTCATTGTATAAGAACCCACGAGAAGAATCTGCACCCCTGAACCCCACATTTCATCAGGACCAGCTGCATTGAATAAGGACTCCCTGGCCTGGTGCTGGCCAATCAGTGGAGACCACAACCCTGAAAGGACACACGTGGAAAACTGCTGAATATTCTATTGAGATCTTCCCCTGGGGCATCCCTTAAAATTTCCATTCTTAGTATGGAGGACCCAGTGCACTCTCCCTCCCAGGAGTACACAGTACCTTTCCCTTTCCCTACTCCCTCCCTGCCCCAGGCACTTTACCATTAGCTTCCTCACTTCAATGCTTCAAGGCTCCTTCCTTTACTTCCATATCCTGTTTCCTAAGCCCATTTCTTCTAGGAATTACTTTATCTATCTCTGTAATTTACCAAGTAAATATTCTCTTACAGTTTTGGGTCTTGGCTCTGAATTATTTCCTAGCCAGAACCCAATTACCCAGGTTTGGTCTGACCCCACCAGTCAGACACCTGGTGCAGTTACTGCTGCCTACAACTGTCCGCTTTTAGGCAGATTATGCATCCACTGGGCCTGATAGACATTTAATAATAAATGTTTCTATAACATTTGTATAATGCAGAAAGTAAACAACAAACTACAAATTCAAGGCACAAATGTTCATTACAAAGCAATGAGCCTCTTTTTTTGGTTTTGTTTTGTTCTAGAGTATTTACAAAACAAGAATTAGGACATTTAAAATATAAATATTGTCATGTTCACCATTATTAACATAGTGGTGAAATGCCAATTGTCAGAATTTCCAATGCAAAAATTGTAAAGGATATTACATGATTATTATTAACCTAACACAGTTATACCACCCTGCAGCTGTATAATAGGCATAAAACAATTGGAAATTTAAGATAATTAAATCCAATATTTTAATGGTTAACCAAAACACTTCCCATGTTTGACATTATTGTAATATGAATCAAAAAATGATTGATATAAGTGCAGTCCTATAATATTTATGTTTGTGGTTTTTTGTGGAGAATGAGTGTCAACTTTTAAATCTCAGGGAAAAATAAATGTAAACTGTGTGTGGATCACATGGTAGGTAATAAAAAATACTTCATAAAATTTCTGTTCACTAAGCCTCTGGAAAAAAAATTCATAGTCACCTGTCATACTTACCTTTACAGCTTCTTCCATCTTCTTTTACTTCAAATCCATCTTCACAGTAACATCTTGTACTATTTCTGACCACTGCACATTTATACTGACAATTCAACTGCTGGCAATTGGACAACAGTTCTGTAGAGAAAAACAGAAAGATCACCTCTATATGACTGTGCACATACATGTGTTTATATTTAAATATTGTTAATATTTGCTCAGTGCATCCTTCAAAGTTTCTGTGATTGGTTGAGAGAACAAACAGCATGTATTCCTTCTAAAATATGTTGATTTGCATTTGTTTGAAGTATCATTAATAATATTTCAGTTCTATCTGTTCAGTTTTTCACTTTTTAGCTCATTATATATGTTCAAAGTCACAAAATCCTTTCAAATTCTTGTAAATTAAATTATTTCAAATGGAAAAATGTCAACTAAGTAGTTGATATCACCATAGGTTCCATGCCTTTCCTATCTGACGTATCAATTGATTTTCTATCTTTTGAGCACTTGTTTTGATTTACTAATCCATGCGTAACCTTCATAGCAATCGATGAATATATTCAATTTCAATACTTTTTCTTTCACGAGTTGCAAAATATTAGACAACTACTGGACATAATATATTTTGTTATATCTGAATTATTTCAGTGTGAATATTTCATTAAAACAAAAATTAGCAAGCCATCAGAGCAAATTAAGATTCAATATGATAAATGCATGAAACAGCTGAAGTGACAGGAGAATATTCACTGCATAAATAATTTCTAACAGGAATAAGATTTGTTAAACTAGAAAAATATATGCATAGAACATGTAACTGATTTTTCTATTTGAAAATAGCGGTATTGCTGGACTTGCATGACTCAGTGGTTGAGCGTGGACCTATAAACCAGGAGGTTACAGTTCAATTCCTAGTCAGGGCATATGCCTGGGTTTCAGGCTCATTCCCCAATAGGGGATGTACAAAAGGCAATCAATCAATGATTCTCTCTTATCAATGATGTTTCTATTTCTCTCTCCCTCTTGCTTCCTCTCTCAAACCAATAAAAATATATTTAAAAAGGAAAATAGGGTTATTAATGGATTGCGACAGCCCTCCTGTCCCACCCCAGGAAGAAAAATAAGGGTATTGAAGGGTATTGAAGATTAAACTTAAATGATTTAAAATATGTTGCTATTTGCTACAAGTTTATCGGCTGCTTCAGAAATATATATATATATATACACACACACACACACACATATATATATACACACACACACACACATATATATATATATA